TACAAAGACCTCTCCACAGGTGTGGCTGTATACTGGACCGGTAGTCAGTGACGGGTAAGATCCAATTGCAATGGTACCAACCTAAGGACCATATGTACTATTGGACAACCTAAGGCAGGCACGGTCCCTAAGCCACATGCTTGTTGTTTAAACAGAGAGGGGGAGATGTTGAGAGCCACAGCCGAAGGGGCCCCAGCAAACTTCCAGCTGCCAGCAAACTTCCAGCTGCCGGCTGATGATTGGCTCACAGCGGCCCCAGCAACATCTAGCTGATTGGCTCCTCTGCGGTGATGCTCATTGGGCAGTTTCCCTGCCCTTTCAGACCACGGAGCTGCTCATTGGGGGACTTTTTTGGCTCCGCCCACGTGACCCAGCCAATCGGCCTCAAGAGCAGGAGGATTGTGGGAGGTGGAGAGAAGTTTGTGGGGGAGAGAGAGGCTTGTGGAAAGCCGGTGGTGGCAGTTGAGGCTCTGAGAGTTTTTCCTGAGAGGCTATTTTGTTTTGCGTGTGTGGTTCTAAAAATAAAGTTAGTTTCTTTTGACAAGTGGCTCCTGATTGTGCCTAGCCAGACTGCGGCATTTGGTGGCCCGTACGGGGCCACTTTAACAATGGCAGGTTTTGAGAAATGGGTAGTCTACTACTTTAGTGTAAAGGTATTTGGGGTTCACAGTGAATGTAGTAAACTTTTGGGGAGCAACAGTATTGTAGTGAGCTTTCTAGCTGAGATGTTTCAAATCTACCCAAAAAAATGTTCTGAAGAGATTGATTTCAGAGATGTGTTCAGCCATTGTTGCCAATGGATAAATACCAATATGGACACTCAACTGCTGGGAAGGGCCACACTGCTCTGCCTGCCAAGAAGGGAGTTTGGCTGCCAGTGTGTGTAGCAGCAAATGACTGATAGTTACACGTAAGCTGTGGAATGGCCTTTGCTAAACCCAAAGAACACTAGAGCTGGAGAGATCCTCAGATGGTGTCATCTGGTGGCTCACAGCTGCGCCTTGTGGTATTGCCATTGGGACCCTTCACCTTAATCTAATGATCAAAGAAACTCTGAGGTTCTTTCTTACCTTTTCACATATTCTTTGTGAAGAACAGGTTACATGACTGAAGTAAATATTAAAACAAGAATTCAATTTGGTTTCCTCAGTAGGAATTCAGGGAAGAGGTTATTTGTCCAAGGTCAAGGGGCTAGCAAGTAGCTCAATTGACAAGTGGTTTAGGGCAGGCCCCTGGGGATGAGGAATGAGCAACAGTAGGTTGGGTGAGGAGCAAGACAGATAACCAGCAGCCTTTTTCCAGATTGGGAGGGCCATCTCTCTAGCCCCCAACTCTGGGTCCAGGACATCTTCCCTGAGTAGCACTCATCTATTTATCTAAGAGAAGTAGGACATTGTCTCCAGAAATCTATAATCTAAAGGTCCCCCATTACCTATTGAGCTTCTTTTAGCCAAATGTCTTTCAGGCTTTACTTAGGACTGTGGGGACCTAGAGGGCTGGGACTCAGCTGGGCTTTGCTCTGGCTCCTTCCCTAGATGATCCCCTTGAGCTGATTCTTTATACTCCTCTCATTGAAGTTTCTAGGAAGGTGATGCCCAGGAACCCCCCCCCCCCATATTGACTCCATCAGCTAAATGAGACTTGGAGTAGAGCAATCCTAAGGATGTTTTCCTCTCTTTACAGGAGGGTAGAGTGGGGCTTGTATAGAGCCTCTTGCATAGATGTTTTTGGTGGCTGTAGTGGAACCAGAAAGGCTTGGCCTGGATCTAATTTTTTTGTTTACTATGTGACTTTGAGAAAATTATCTAATTTCTTTGAGTCTCGATTTTTTTCATCTAAATAATGGTGATCATATTAGGGCTCATCTTATGGAATTATGGGCATAATTAAATGAGGCATTGTGCTATATGTTTAGCATAAGGCTTGAATTCAGCAAGTGCTTAATGTAGATCTTGTTGGAAATTTAAAAAATTATGCCTTTATGAGACCCTATTTCCCATTTCCACACTTCTTCCTATTAGACTAAGCAACTAATTTGACTCCTTGCTGGAAAATTAAAATAACTTGATGGACTTCAAATATGTCCTTTAAAAATTCTTGTCTTAGTGAGTTTTGTCTACTATAGGAAAGTGTCATAGACACTTAAACAGCAGAAATTTATTTCACAATTCTAAAGACTGGAAGTTCAAGATCAGAGTGTGAGCAGATTTGGTGTCTGTAAGGGCCTTCTTCTGCTACCTTCTTGCTTCTCTCTCTCCTCAAGGGGTTGAGGGTGGGGGGGAGAAAGTTAGTTCTGGGGTCTGTTCTTCTTATAAAGCCACCAAAAAAAACCAGGACATAGTCCCTACCCTCATGGCATCATTTAAACCTAGTTACCATTCAGCCCCCTCCCTTGCCAAATATCATGTTGGGAATTAGGGTTTCAACCTGTGGATTTTGTTGAGACACAAACATTCAGTCCAGAGCACACTGTCTCAACATTGAGAAATAAGTGTTTGAAGAGGAAGGAAGTAAGAAGAAGAGAGAAAAGGAAAGAAAGGACTAAGGGGAACCACGCAAGAACCTTTTTTCTACCACCTTCTCACCCATACCAGCTCCTTCCAGCCTTCCTATCTGAGGGCTTCGGAATGGAGAGCGACCTTGGGTGGAGACCAGAAGCTGCAGCCCGGAGCTTAGGGGCCTGCTTTAAGGAAAGGGCTGCACACTGCATGGTCTCTGCCCCTGAAGTGAGCATAGCCTTTGTGAGGGGACCAGAATCCAGGAGAGGAACATCCTCTGGTGATGGCCACAGAGAAGAGGGGGCCAAGGTCCCAGCTTTGGGGAGAAGCATAACTACAGGTGGCCCCAGTACCTGAGCTCAGTGGAAAGCATTGATCATCCTGCATTTTGGAGACCTGCCTTCACTTGGCAGGGACAGAAGAGACTGACAGAAGGAGATCACCCCAACCCATGTTGATGATAGTCCCAAAGTCTGCCTCAGGACCATCTGCCACAGCCCCTTTCAGAAAGCAGGAGCTCATGTGGCTGGATGCCTGGCTTACACAGAGATTTGAAAACAGTCCCATGAGCTTCAAAGAAGGGATGAGATGCTGATAGTGAATAAGTAAGGGTGCAGAAAGTTATAAAGCAAGGGTTAAATATCTCGAGATTTCTTAGGGAATTCATGCCTCTTCATGTAAAATAAGTAGAGAAGGAAAAGATAAAATTGTCCCACCACAGTCAAGGTGCTGACCATCTCCTCTGAACCTCCACAGAAATTCCCTACAGTGTTTATATAATCATGGATCACTTTCCAAAAGTTTATATCAAAGCACAACTTCCTTATTTTTATGCAAAGCTCATAGTAATACAGTTTGGATGAATTTAGACCTGTGATGATATTTCTTTTCTCTGGTCAATATAACTTCCTGTGTTCCAACTTCACATACAGCATCACTGAGGAACTCAGAAGGGTCACATAGCAAATAGCGTAAACCAGTTCCACAACTTGAAGAGCACTGGGGGGAAGGGGAAGGATATGGTTTTAGCTGTGCCAATGGAGTTCCCAGGCAGAGCCTCAGGGGGAGCTTCATTCTAGATGCTTCAGAGAGGAGGACCAGAACTAGTGAGTGTGAGTTACACACCGGCAAGTTTCAGCTCAGGACAGGAGAGGACTTTCTAGCTGAACAGGATGCCCTGTGGGTTGGCAAGCACCCCATTCCCACTGGAAGTGTTCAGATCAAGGCCAGATGGCCATCAGCAAAAATTAGGAAGGTAAAGTGAGGTTTTTCAATCAGTTCCCATGTTCTACCCCTGCCAGGGATGCAGGATGAAGATTAGGGAGAGATGGGATATATGTGTGGCTATCTTTCTAAGAGGATCTTCAAAGTCCAAGTTGCTGCCCTCCATCATCCCAGCTGTCTCACTCCCCTGGTCCTTCATTTTCCCTAGCTCCCTGAGCCATTCTGAGCCCACAGAAAGTTAGTTCTTAGATCTGACCACCACTTGGATCTTGATTTTCAATTGGCCTTTTTCAAGTTAGGATGTACTTCCTAGTCGTGGTAGTCTGAGATTTTGAGAATGATTCTGTGCAGCTTCTTTCCAATTTAATTCATGATTCTATAGCTCCTAGATTTTGCTTTCCCAATTATGATCCTTCCATACCACATTTTTTTCATACTGAAACTAATTTGTCATCTTGATAAATTTTACTGTCCTTTCTTGGGTCTCTTTCTTAGAACTCTTTTTTATCTTCTTGAAGCAGAATGCTGTGGACCCCTGCGGCTTTGTACCTCACACATTCCCCAATTGTATGCATATTAACTCTATAAGAGACAGTATAATCTATATTTTTAAAATGCATTAATGGGGTGGCTCAGTGGTAGCGTGCTCACCTAGCATGTACAAGGCCCTTTTTCAATTCTTAGCACCACATAAAAATAAGTAAACAAAATAAAGTATTGTGTCCAACTACAACTAAAAAATAAATATTAAGAATTGCATTAATGTGGGACAGAGAAAATCCAGGATCTTCTACAACTAGATGGGCTGTGTGACTTTGGGGAAGTTATTTACCAGCTCATTTGTGCATTAATTTCCATGTTTGCAAAATGGAGAGAGAAGCATGTCCTCCAAACATTCATGAAAACAAACAGTTTAGTATTTAATAGCCTGACATACTGCTTTGCATACAGTAGGGGCTGAATAAGAGATGGAAAAGAAACTGAAAGTTCCCATCTTAATTATAATATCTTCTTAATTATATAAGACATATTTAATGAAACATGTCAATTCTTTCAAAGGAATACTTTTCAAACCTCCCTCTAAGACTCAAGTTTGAGTTATTTGGTTCCAATTCATTTAAATCAATCTTTTTTAAACACAACTCTTATTAAGTAGCATTAGGAACATTGTACTCACACATCTAAACATAAACTCAAAGCCTCATGTCTTTACAAACGTAAGTGGATATGTGTGAGATGTACATAGAATTAGCCCACTATCTTCTGTTTAATGTTCAGACAGTCTTGGCACCTCCGAGAAGCAAGAGCTACAACGAGAAAAGTGGGAGAGGAACAACATGCCAAGAAGAAGCCTCTCTCGACGCTCCATCAGCAAAGAGAGATGGGTGGAGACACTGGTGGTGGCTGACACAAAGATGATCGAGTACCATGGGAGTGAAAATGTGGAGTCCTACATCCTCACCATCATGAACATGGTACACCTGACTGAATGAGGTGGGGGGGCAGTTGGTGAAGAGATGCCATTAGAAGAGCCCTCCAGCCCATCAAAGAAAGAGGTCCTTTTAACCTGCATAGATAGATGGAGATGTGTGTGTGTGTGTGTGTGTGTGTGTGTGTGTGTGTTTCCCCACTATCTAAGTGAATACAGATGGAGATTTAGGACAAATTAGTGTTTCCCTTAAAAGCATATATCCTGGGGAAAATATAATTTATCATTGTATATTTTTATTAGGTACATAGCAAGCATTTCAATCCTTTTGGTATGACTTTGTCTTATCCATCATTTATGTAGTTATATAAATGAGTAAATTGAACAAAGAATTAGAGTGTGATTTTCTCAAAGTAGTTATAGCTAGAATTGGAATAAAGTTGTACTGCAGTTCCTAATTTTAACTTCCCTTTGCCTTATGGGTGTGTTCTGCCTTTCTGTTAATAAGGGGAAAGGTATTTGCTTGAGTAACTAATAATGAAAGTGGGAAAGACCCTAGGCAAGGGAATGGTCAAAGAAAAGAAAGGGATCGATGTCTCAAGCACATAGTCAGTCAATCATCCAGAAAGATTATCTTTAAATATCTCAATGTGGGTGGAACTGTTGGCATATCTTACTTTTCTTTGTTCTATATCAAGAATGTGTGACCTATAATATGATGTGATTCAACTTCATTACAGTGCTGTTTTTCCCCTGCAGCATAGACACATATTACCTATCCATGTGGAGCTAACAGTTTTCCATTTCTGACTCCAGGTCACTGGGTTGTTCCATAATCCAAGTATTGGTAATGCAGTTCACATCGTTGTGGTTCGGCTCATTCTCCTTGAAGAAGAAGAGGTAAGGAATAGTTTCCGCTTTACTCCTCTCTGTAACTGTACACTTTCTAACTCCTTTTTCAAAAGGGTTCTTGATAAATACGAGGTTTCCAGATAGGTGTTTGGAAGCTCATAGAAGAAGGACAATAGTTTTGTGTTATTTTCTTGAGTACAGCGATATTGAAGGCGAGATGGATATCATTTCCAAAATGTACATAGTTGGAATCACCTGACTGCCACTACATTTAGTTATACACAAACCAGGCCTACAGCACTTACTAAGCCAAGGAACTGAATATACTCCTCAGAAGATGATATACAATCAATCAACAAATATATGAAAGAAAATGTGCAACATCTCTAGCAATTAGAGAAATGCAAATCAAAACTACTCTAAGATTTCATCTCACTCTAGTCAGAATGGCAGCTATCAAGAATACAAATAACAATAAGTGTTGGTGAGGATGTGGGGAAAGATGCACACTCATACATTGCTGGTGGGTCTGACAATTGATGCAACCAACCTGGAAAGCAGTATAGAGATTCCTTGGAAAACTTGGAATGGGACCACCATTTGACCCAGCTAGCCCACTCCTTGGTTTACACCCAAAGGACTTAAAAGAAGCATACTACAGGAATACAGCCACATCAATGTTTATAGCAGCACAGTTCACAATAGTTAAATTGTGGAACCAATCTAGATGCCCTTCAGTAGATGAATGGATAGGAAAACTTTGGTATATATACACAATGAACATTACTCAGCATTAAAAGAGAATAAAATCATGGCATTTGCAGGTAAATGGATGGATTTGAAGAATATAATGCTAAAGTGAAGTAAGCACATCCAAAAAAACCAAAGGCTAAATATTTTCTTTGATATAAGGATGCTAACTCATAATGGCGATGATGGGGGGAAGCATGGGAGGAATGGAGAAATTTTAGATAGGGCAAAGGGGAGGGAGGGGAAGGGAAGAGGTAAGGGGGTAGGAATGATGGTGGAATGAGTTAGACATCATTACCCTAAATACATGTATAAAGACACGAAGGATGTGACTCTACTTTATGTACAACCAGAGATATGAAAAATTGTGCTTTATATGTGTAATATGAAATGAATTGCATTCTGCCATAATATATAACAAATTAGAATAAATAAATAATTAAAAAAGAAACAGTGAACAGAGGGGGGGAAATGTATCTGGGGGGACAAACTATATAGGTGATTGGTTTCAATAAAAGGCGAGACATGAAAATGTTGAGCCTTTTATACCACTAATTAATGAACTGTGGCTCTTTAACACAATTCTCTCAGATTTGGACTCTTTTCTGAACTTCTACCTTTCATCTATTCTCAGATACTTACTTATCCACATTCTGAGACTCCTAATGGATACCAGAAGTCCAGAGCTCTTCCTTGAGGTCCCTACTTATATCTGGATGTGTCTTAGTCCATTTAATCATGGAAACTTAATAAGTCAACAATGGAAATTTTGATCATTTCTTGCCCCAAATACCTCAATTTTTCTTCCCTCCATTTCCTAAACCACCATCTTATCCATCTCTATGGATTCTATCCATCTTTGTATATGTACCAAATTGCATAAGCCGAGGAATCATTCTTGACTTCTCTTTTTCATATCTTCCAAATCCAACAGCAAGGCCCTTAGTGGTTCTACCTCTGAAGTACATCTAGCCACCCACTGCTCATCATCTTCCAGTCATCACTTTGGTTTAGGCCTTATCATATCAAGATATGGGCTACTAGAGTGAACTTCAAAATGGTTTTCCCATTTCCAGCCTTGCCTCCATAATCCATTCTGCATAGATGATCATTTTAACTATAGCTACAGTTGATCATTTTAAATACAACTGCCCAAATCCCTTTAATGATGCTCTATTTTTTTTTAGCACAAATTCAAGTTCTCTTACTGCAGAGGCTTTAGTGATTTTGCCTCCGTCCACCTCTCTAGACTTCCTTGTGTTACTCCCTTCCTTGCTTCCTTCCCTCCTGCTCTCTGGACTCAGGTTCTAAACACACTAGGTGCTTTGCAGCTTCATGGCCTGTGTACTAGTAGTTCCCAGTGTCTGAAATATCCCATCCTGGTTCTGCTCATCCCTCAGGCCTCAGTTAAAATGCTGTCTCGCCTCTTCAGAGAGGTCTCAGTCACCTCTCTCAAAGTTGGCCCCTCTTACCGTTCTCCATCACAGAATGATAGCACTCTCCCAACACATTATTATTCTGTGTACCTTTTGACTCTTACCTTAATTATCTCAGCCACCATCAGCATATGAATCACACAGTGCAAAAAAAAAATGTGTTTCTTTATTTTGTTACATCCCCAGCACCTAATACCATGTCTGGGGCATGAATAATGAATGAAGTGAAATTTAATGAACAGTCAGCCTGAAAAAAAAATGTCTTTGAAATCTATAGAGCTTAATTCATGGCTGGCAAATGTGAAATGGGACACCCATTCAGATCTGTTTCAGCAAGAAAGATGTGGTCAGAATATCAAGGCAGGGCGTATGGCTTTTTAAACAAGAGGGTCTCCACAATCAGTTAGAAGCTAGTTTAAATATGATCTCTGGAACCTGGATCTATTTTCCTTTTCTGCCCCACCAACCCTATATCTTTTCTTCATTCAAGACATATTTGGGGTTTCTTGGAATAACTACAGGTATAGTATTTCTCTTCCTGTGATCCTTTCTTTAAGAAGTTCTACCTAAGCCAGGAGTCGTAGCACATACCTATAATCCCAGCAGCTCTGGATGCTGAGGCAGGAGGATTGTAAGTTCAAGACCATCCCCAGCAATTTAGTGATGCTCTAAGCAATTTATCGAGATCCTGTCTCAAAATAAAAATAAAAAAGGCTGGTGCTATGGTTTAGATATGAGGTGTCCCCTCATATATGAGACAATGCAAGAAAGCTTAGAGATAAAATGATTGGGTTATCAGAACCTTAACCCAATCAGAGGGTTTATTCCCTGAAAGGATTAGCTGAGTGGTGACTGTAGGCAGGTAGGTGTGGGTTGGAGGAGGTGGGCCACTGGGGGCGGCCTTTAGGATATTGATTTGTCTTTGTTGAGCAGAGCTCTCTGCTTCCTGATCATGTCCTGAGCCACTCTCCTCCACCATGCTCTTCTAACATGAGGTTCTGCTTCACCTCAAGCCCCAAGGAGTAGAGCCAGCTTTTATGGACTGAGACCTCTGAGACTGTGAGCCCCCAAATAAACTTTTCCTCCCCTAAAATTGTTCTTGTGGGGGACTGGCGTTCACTCGGCACTCAAGGGCCAGCAGAGTGCACAGCAGACCCAGTGCAGGCCACAGCTCCCTCCACAGTCTCCTTATGTTGCCCAGGCTGACCTCAAATTTGTGATCCTCAGCCTCCTGAGTCCCTGGGATTACAGTTGCTTTTACCTGGTAATTCCTGAGGAAAACAGATTCAAGGGATGAGTGAACTGGAACAGCTGAAGCAGGAAGCAGAACTACAGAATCAGACCCAGATGGAACCCAGGGCCTGACATATGCTAGGCAATACCCTAGCACTGAGCTCTCCCCACAGCCTTTTAAGTTTTATTTTGAGACAAAGTCTTGCTCAGTTGCTCAGGCTGACCTCAAACTTGGAATCCTCCTGCCTCAACCTCCCAAATAACTGGAATTACAGATGTACACCACCACATCTGCCACATTTTCTTCCTTCCTTCCTTCCTTCCTTCCTTCCTTCCTTTCTTTCTTTCGCCCAAAGATGTTAACATCAGATCTTCTATTTTCTTTTTTTTTTCTTTTTTTTTGTGGCAAACAGGATGGAATTCTTTTATAAAAATTCAGTTTTATAATGGATAGTAGTGTTCATAAGAATAAATTCTTTATGTAAGTAGATTATTTGAATTATGAAAATCTGCCTCTAACTTCTGCTGATAGTAGAATCCTTGTATTCTAACATGATGTTTTAATTTTTGGTACTGAATTTTAGTACAGTTTAATGATTTTCATTTTCAGCCCTTAAACTATATTATTAATACTAATGTAAGTGCTATGAGGGCAAAAAAATTGTTGTCTACTGCTTTGTAAATGATGACTATAAGTACCTGACATTCATCTGATTTTTTCACCAGATGATTGAATAAAGAAAGATGACCTGAACAATGATAGGTCATTTTCATAAAACTTGAAACCACAGAACCTTTTTTCAGAATTTAGACTTACACTGTACCATTTTTGGAACATGGCTCAGGTTATCACTCATTTCCAGAAACTCTTCACTCTGGAAAATCATGCTAAATTACTCCTTGTTAAATGAGGTCTCTAAACCCACAATGTGGCTAAGGATGAGAGAATCAAATCATAGTTTTGTGCAACTAGTTGTAAAACACACTTACATAGAAATGGTCGTTTATAAATAGATTGACAGGGCAGCCCAAATTACCAAATCTTTCATTTACTCTTTCTGCAAAGCCTTTGTTGTGTTTTATTCACTAAATATTTTGTGTCTTCTCTTTGCCTAAGAGTATACTAAGCACTATACGCAAAAAAAAAATAATAATAATAAAAATAAAGAGGATACTACCCTAACCTTTGCAGGGGGGTGGATTTCTTAAATCTAGCATATATATCAATTCTCTAAATTTGTTATTAACTGATAAACTTAGTTTAAAATGTCTTGCTGGAGCTGGGGTGTAGCTCACTGGTTGAGTACAAGTTTAGCATATGGAAGGTCCTGGATTCAATCCTTAGCACCCAAATAAATCAAATGTTTTGATTTTTTAATAAATAAATAAATAAATTTTAAAAATTGATCTCATCAGTCTTTTGGTCACAGCAGTAAAAAAGCTGACTGAAGCGTCTGGGGATGTGGCTAAGTGGTTAAGCACCCCTGGGTTCAATGTGCAGTACCAAAATAAATACATAAATAAATAAAATCTAAAACTTGGAAATCAGGCAAAATAAAAACTAGGTATCTTTTAAATGTCTAACTTACCTATCTGAACTTCTGAGAATGGAACTGGTTATTACTCATC